TGAGATGGCGAAGATGAATAATGAAAGCAATCTCCAAGTCACTTTCTCCAAACGTCGAGCTGGACTTTCAAGAAGGCGAGTGAATTGAGCACTCTATGTGGGGCTGAGATTGCTATTATGTCTTCTCACCCGGTCAGAAGGTCTTCTCTTTTGGCCATCCTTGTGTCCAGACTGTGTTGGAACGTTTTGTTAGTGGTAATCCACCACAAGCTGCTTCTGGAACCATGAAACTCATTGAGGCTCATCGGAACACTAGTGTCCGTGAGCTAAACATGCAGCTCACTCAGGTTATTTTAATTTCTTTCCTCTCTTATAAAGTGTTTTAGGTATAAATAATATATATTAATTTTACTACATGTACAGGTTTTGAACCAACTCGAAATCGAGAAGAAGAGAGGCGAGGAGCTTAACCATATGAAAAAGGCAAATGAGAATCAATGTTGGTGGATGGCTCGCAAGAACGATATGAGCTTGACACAACTTCAACAACTGAAGGCCTCTCTCGATGAACTGAAGAAGAATGTGGCTAAGCATGCTGAGAAGATTTTGATTCGTACCCAAAATAGTCATCATCCTCATCATCATCTTCCTCATCCTCATCCTCATCTTCCTCATCCTCATCCTCATCATCATCATCCTAACCATCCTTTTTTTCTGGGAAGTTCTTCCAGTGGAGCAAGTCTTCCTTTTGAGACAAAGCCTGCTGGATTCAGTTCTAGCATTGTTCCATTCAACAATCCGAATATGATGCCTCCAAAGTATCATGGATTTGGCCAAGGATTCTTCTAAGTGAACTTTTTTTATTTATTTAAAATGAATTTTTAATTTTTCCGGCACAGTAAATGCCTCAGTATTAGTCTTTATATTATGTTGGGTTTTAGGATTTTAGCTTCTAACGAGTAAAGGTTTGTTCTAGAAAATAAGAGGCATCTTATTTTATGTTATTTGTTGAAGTACTTTGTAATCGTTCAGTGATACTGCATCTAGTTCTTAATATAAGTTTTCTTCCTTAAAACCCTTTGCGCTTGATTATATATATATATATGTATATGTATATATCTCAAACATTCTACTACGCTTTTTTTTTTGTCATGCGTTGTGACACTATCAACTGCTACCTATATAACATATTGTAATATGTATTATTTTAATATATAAACAATTATTATCAAAATATTTACTCATTTATATTCACCATACAAAATGTAAAACACATATATACAAGAGTTTTGCCTCTATTATATATATATATATGTGTGTGTGTGTATATATATACAGTGATCTATTATCTCTTATTTATTGTACACCATACCTCGAGAGATTGAGGAAAGTTTAGAGCTTGAGGTAAGCATACTAGAATTTTTCAATATCAAAAGCTTTCAGGTTAGAGATAGATATTAGATTACACAAGCATGAGTTTTTGTTATTCGGGTAAATTTATGGAATAATTAGCATGCACAAGAATTAAATTATGTAAAAATTATAATCTACTATTTTCTTATGTACAATTTAAACGTATGTATGATACTAAATGACTGTATGAATCCAAATAAAAATAGAACATATAGGTTGTAGAGAAGGTAAGTAGTAGATCTATATATAGATCAACTTTAAAAGTATAATATAGTTAATTTATTCTTATTTAACAAAAAATTTGTAAGAACGACATGATAGGGAAAATAAAAATAAATTATTCATTAAAAAGATGATGCATGTACAGATATAAGTGCACGTTTTATTAAAATGTATATACGTATTTAATCATAAATCTGGCTATTACACTCCTATATTGAATTTGGAGCTATGTTGGAATCATAAATCTACTCAGCATATTATTTTCTTTCTCAATTTTTTTTATTTCTATTCCATTTGAATTTCTATTTTCTATATTTTTACACTGGATCTACAACTCGTGTATGTCTACAATTTATATCTTTTTCCCATAAAGATATCCTTCTCTGCTCTAAGTTCGGTGTAGGTATCAAATATTGATCATATTGTAGCTATTATGTGAAGACAGCTACTAAATTTTGTAATAAAAAATTTGCTGGCAATGCTTCTGAAATGCAGGGGACACTGCATATGGATTGGATAGATTGGTTATATTGTTAGCAGGAGCTAGTAAATAAGAGATGTCATAGCTTTCTTGAAGAAAACTATCGTACAGTGTGCTCTCACCCGAGCACCATCTGAAGTCGATCCACAGCAGCTAAAAGATCTTTCAATCTAAAACTGAACATATTTCTAAACCAGAGTTTCAAACATATATTTATACGGGAGAATTTGACTCTGCTTCCCGGTTCATGTGATCCATTCAATTTTGATTAACGAGGGTCTTATTTTTGTATACTTATCTTACTATTTTTTAAAAAACTCGTAACAAAGAATGAAATTTTTTCGCTAAGGAAAACATATTTTTTACCAGATGCTTACTCAATGCATATAAGTGTGATATTAAGTCTTAAAATTTTATTTCAAAAGATTTACTGTTAAGATATTTTCAGACTAATTTTGTACACTGAAACTAAATTGCTTTCAATTTTGAGAGCAACAAAGGAGGCTGATAAAGAAAAACATGCTAATAGATTTAAGATTAAATAGAAGAAAAAAAAAGAAAGAGAAATAGGAAGGGGCTGCTGAATGATGCATTAACATGGCAATACTATTATGATAGTTTACATTTTGAAGCCTTATGAAACACAAACAGATATGCATGAAGAACATATTGCGTTCAAGGACAAAAACAGAACAAGAAGGCTGGAATATAAAAAATATATAGACACGTTGTTTATATCAATGAGATTATGTCAAATTCAATAATAATGATAGAATTTAACTTCTCTCTTGTGTTATACCCAGTGCATGACATATTCATTATCAGATAAGATCATCTTTCTGACCATGATAAAATCGAGCCTTCTGAGTTACTTGAGAACAACTAAATGATATGTTAATACGGAAAATGCATAGAAGGCAAAAACTCTTGAACTATTTCACTTTAGTTAATTTGTGCATGATGTAAGAGCATTAGGTTATATAAATGTTCATAAACTTTCTATTTTGTGTTCGAAGATCGTGGCTATTATGATCATTTCCATGCCATTAATAAATTTCTTCTTTGAGATTGAACCAAACTTGATGCAATTATTTATTCATGAATGCATCGAATAATAAAAATAAAAAAAAAA